TTAGTAAGAACTGTTGCTCATGTTTTTACAGAGACGTTGGGGGGATTGTGGCCGTGGTTGTGGCCATAACAATTGGAATCGCTGCCATTATAGGGTTCGCTATCTGTATATGTTATGTGCTCGCCAAGAAGTCTCGTGTAAAATCAGGATGGCGGACGACAGTTATTCACCCCAGAAACCTTGACGACAGTCTCCATCAAACAACTACAGTTTGTGAGTATTATAGGTTTGCATGTATTAATATGTTAAATAAGTTTTAAAGTTGCAAATTATGAAAATCAATATTCACTTATTCCAGTGGGCAAGCGGGTTTTAAAAAATGAAAATATCAAACAGTAATGAAGGTCCATCATACACAGGGGAATACAACTATTTGTGAATTTCTATTTCTTTATTTATTATTTATTTTTAAATCAATAAATGGACCATACATCAAATATTAACAACTCGAACTGATCCTCATCGAATGTGAACCGCAATCGTGAGTAGAATTAGCTGAAATTAAAAAACTTTTTATTTTTCAAATTTGTCAATATTTCTGTATTTCAGCTTACACCACGACACAATATCCTAGCTGTCACAGCCAGTACCAGAATGGCGTGTTTACCTTCGCGCTACCTTCAAACTTCAACCTGACACGTGAATGCCCTCCCCTGTCCCCTATCACGCCCCCTTCAGTGTCACCCATCCACTCTTCCATGTCCCTTAGCAAGCCCCCCTCAGTGTCACCCGTTCACTCTCCCCTGTCCCCTATCACGCCCGATACAGTGTCGCCAATCCATCCTCCCCCGTATGTCGACAGATCGGATTCACCGCCCAAGTACTTAAGTGATTAAATAAATTTAACCAAAACTCGAAACACAGACCTGAACAGGAAATAACGTCAAACGAAACCGGATGTGGTATAAACTGGTGTTGGATAGCGCTACATCTTGTTATGATAGTGTGGAATTTGTATTAAACAGATAGACTGACTTCCTGTTGTGGTGTCATGTCAATGATTGTGTACGTGTATTACAAACCATGGTGCTCTGTATGATAGTTCAAAACTGTTTCGACGTAATCAAAAATGTAAAAAAAAGTGAGGATAACAATAATAAAAGACATAATAATGTATATATTTTAGTCACGTGGCATTAGAAGGCGGGGCTATAAAAAAACTAGAGTAAAACAGAGTATGTTTGAAAAAATATATTTTTATTGATTGTATTGGTTGTTTGAGGCATGTAATTAATGTTCATCTTGTGCCTAAAGAATAGATCTTTCGATCCATGTGCGACATGTGTGTGAAAGTGACGATTTGTTTCTAAAATATCAGTTTGAAGTGCGACCCGGCCACGGGTCGCTTATTTCCCGCATATTATAGAAGGCTCTGACGTTAATCGACGACAGACCGATATAAAAAAAAAGTTGATAAAACGTACGTAAATATATACACTGATGCCTTTTTCAGAGCGTATGTGCAAAGATACGTTTGTGCGAAGAACTATTAAGATAAGACTTGTGTATATGTATTGGCATATGGCCATATTGTAAACTCGATGACGTTGTGATAATTATTTCTTTGATATATATTTTACCATGAAACATTGAGATAGACGAAATGTATATGATTTTTCATTTCAGGTTTTTTTCTTTTCCATATTTGCATTTTATATTTATTTTTTTACTGATACATACACATAATTCGCCGGTATTTGGATTCGGATGAGAACATTATGGATACCGTAATAATTCTTGGCATTTACCGGACACGTGTGTGTCTGTTTAACGAGCCAATTCTGATTCTGTTTGTTTGTTGATAATTCAAGCCTGATATTTGTTTATATTTTCATAATTATATTTCCCATGACCATACAGATTATTTTCTTTTTCCTTCATTTTTTAAGGGAGAGATGGAGTATGTTATGTGTATACGATACTGGTCAGTGAGATCTTTAATATCGTTTTATCATTATGTATGGTCTAACGAAAGAAAATGCTTATTCCGCATCAAATGTTGCGTATCATTTCGTTTATTAGTCTTAACGTAATTTCCCGATTCACTGACCGGGTCCGTTTGCATTAAGTTCTGGTTTTCTGTAACAAACTGTCTAAAGGTTACGTAGTCATGGAAAATCCAAATGTCAGTTTACATATGTTATCAATTGTAATAAGCTGTGATTAATTTGTAAATCAATAATTTGTTCTATTGATTACGCCAACTTATGATATCGGAGTGTCATTTCTATGTAAACAGATCGATCATTCAATTATTTATACCTGTACATCTGTCATAAAACGCGTTTAAATGTCTTTAAAATGTCGATTGTTTTTAGTGGAAGGGTTATTTTGCTAAAATTTCAATTTCGTACTTGTGGGTGCATTTTTTCTCGATCTCCTAGAAGCTGTCTGGTATTCTTTACGGAAATGGACATCTCACGCAGGAGTAGGAATGTGGCACATTGCACCTCTGTTATTTTAATTCAGCTTCTTTAGTTTCGTATGCTTTGTTCCGAATGGACGCATTGTAAGTCCTCTGCACATCAGGAATATATCATAACGAAATCGAAGGCTCTGTATGTATCAACTTGTGGATGATACAATAATTCTTGTTTGCTCTTTCAATGTGTAGCCAAAAAATCGCGCGGCAGTGTAATGGTAAAATTTACCGGCTTTCACTTCGCGTTTTGCTTCTCCGTAATCCTATAGGACATGGATCAACCTAACGACTGGTCAGTTACCTAAAACGGATAAAATAGCTAACCGCATACCTTCGATTTCGTGATGACATATTATATGGGTACAGGAAACGTGAGTGAGCGTTTTACCTGAAATTTTGAGCTGGGGTCGGAGCTTCAGTGAATAATTTTCAGAATAAATTTCCTCATTGCAAAGGTCATAGCCAACCAATAAAAAAAACTGATGACATCTCCCAGTTCTCACTAGAATAGGTCAGATTTATATGATAGATGTGCGAATATTTCGTTTAAGGAATGAGTTTCTTTAACTTATCAGAAACTATGTTTTTGTCAATTAGGAAGTTATGATTGTTTTGCTCACACTGAAACCTTAGAAGTCTACATTCATATGCCCCTAAAATAGAATTTCAAAAAATCAATTTCAGAAATATTGATTGAATGATGTTCAAATACGGAACGAAAATGGATTCAATGCGAGAAAGTCATCAATACATTCAATAACAGAGGGAAAAGACAAACTAAATTTTCTGGTTTTCAATTCATTTTATTTTGATTCAAGTACCTTTTTATTTATCAGAGTATGATGTTGATGATGTCATAAAATGTTACATCATGCGCATGAGCAAATTCATGTACAATATCACAAATAAAACATAATTATGATAACGGTGGGACTACACGATCCACACTGGGAAGACGGAATATAAACTAAAGGGCAGTAACCCAACAAAAAAATGAAGAAGGGAGATAACTCACAATATAAAATAAGATATAAAGTTTGATTTACTTCTCGTGTTTAACATATTCCACACCACAGACACAAGGATTAAGCCAGAAGAGAGTCTTGCTGATCTTTTTAACATACTGAATGTTTATAAAACTATAAAACAAAACTAAGTGTACATATAAAACACATGTCACGGAGCCCGTAGGAATGTACTATAACGCTTTAAAAAAGTCGACCTCCCAGCTTATATGTTTTAAATCACTTAATTGAAGCTACGTTTATCGCATTGAACGATATAATTACTAGACGATAATGACTAGTATAACTGTAATGTGAGATTATCTCCCTTTATCACATAAAAACGTTCACATTTCCAAATTAGCACATAAATATATTCAGCAAGAACATATAGAATTTAAGACGTATTTTCAAAGTCAAACCTTTTTTACTTATTAAATGGAGACGAGAGGGATTGAGTTTGGAGCGCAGGAGGGGTGGGGTGGGGGTGGGGTGGTCGGGGTGTATGCCATCATCATACATGTAACGGCTGATAATATTGCTTGTTCATTGTTTTGTCTCATGCTGTGTTTAATCACATGAGTTTCAACAAAAGATGAACTCTTCTGTCTTCTTTAAATCCGTTTGCATCTATTGAGCCCTACCGACCTAAACAGTTCAATATGTATATATATAATAGTCAAATGCTGACGTCCCCTCGGTACCACAGGGTATATACACAGAATTATAGTAAAACAGTCGAATTCACCTAATTTAATCAGGTACAATGCAAAATTCAGATTTCTTTGTCACATTTTCCCTTCAAACGAAACGCTTTCACGACATGTTCTCTCGATTCTCCATTCTATGTATCAGTGTGTTAGTGTGACAAGACTCGTTAACTGGAGAGACAAGTACACTGTCTGTATTTGATCGTCCTGACTCATTGTATATAGGTATATACATATTGTCTGTATATAGATTGATTGGCATTGCCCATTTTACTTGCAATAACAGATTTGTCCCGGATCGCACGTGAAAAGGTATGTGGTCACCACCCCGATTACATGGGTTTTCTCCAGGTATTCCGGTTTCCTCCCACAGTACATGTAAGACCCCCGAGCGCTAACATCCGGGTTAGCAAGAGTGATTTGTACAAGTTGTTAATAAATAAAGTTAATATATTATCATTTGTCAGTTCTGACATTATGAATTCATTAAAAAATGTTTCTAAAAAGATAGTCATACATTTTATATTATAAGGTTTTCGCAAGTTACCCTCTTTAATCCGGACATCACGCAATCCAGTTACTATAATGACAGTTTGTCTAGTTCGAATTCTGTATAATTCGACAATCTCTTCGACATTATACCTTCGATATCGCCCACACTGTATCAAGAAAGCCCTTACTTCATTTGTAGTTTTTTTTCAATTCTCTAAATAGATAGGGTTAATAATTGGATTACCTTCAATGTCAAATGATCATACAAGTCATATGTATGTATCGTACTATAATTGTTCATTAAAAATATTCCTTATCGAAAAATGATTTGTACGATTTTTATTTCATCGAAAAAGATATCATATCTGGATTATGTGATTCCGTATTTATGAGGCCGAACCGAGAGATTAACTCATTCACCCATGAAGACCCATTTGAACTCTTCCAAATCATTGGTTGGAATAGTTCATTATGAAGTTTCAGGGGTGATGAATTAATTGCACTATAAACTGTATCTAGATACAGGACACGTTTACGTCAGACAACTATTCCTGTTTTGTATATTTAAATGACATAAAATGCATTTGGAAGGATTCAAACTGATTGTTTAAAAAAAGAAAAAAGTTGTGGTTGTATTCGTTTTGAAGTAAACCTCATGATGATGATGATGGAGCAGTTTGGTCCTTCAAACGCATTATATTTCAATGTAAAGTTAGGATTGTCTTTTCAGCACATTCCGCTCATGTTAATTAATAACTTTCCGTGTTGGGTATAGAGAAGCAACAGCTGAAACACTGTAGAATATCGACCGTACTCCATCACATCCCTCCCACTCAGGTTTGCTTTCTGACGTAGCTGGCACATTTTTATTGTCACCTGTGGCAGTATTTGCAGCTCCAAGACTAAGTAGTATGGCTAATGTTTCTTATAAATGTCAGACATAACCAGCAGATATGCATTTCATTTGAAACTCTCGTAACGTAACACGTGGTTTACTTGTGACGTAATATATTAACCTGGTTAACCCTGTCACCGGGTCACCCGTCCGGCTTTCAGGTCAAGGAATATGTACATGCAAATGACGTCAACAGCATCAATTTATGTTAACGTGGCATTGTGATACGTCATAAACATGTAATGAAAAAAAAACATCGGTTTATCAAAAAAAAATTAAAAAAAATGTGCTAATCAGCATAGCGATAAGATAACTTAATTTGATGTTTACTTTACATAAGTTTGGGCTTTAATTGCATTTGTCAAAAATGTCGTTTTTTTCCTTTTTAAATAAGTCGAGTTTTTTCTGTGGCGACCAAATGTGCAGTGGATAGCGCACTCGCCTTCTACAAAGACGGCATATGTAGGATTTCTAGGTTGCACGTGCCAAGGTATTAGGTCATCTGCCCAACCACGTAGTTTCTTTCACTAAAATTTACTGCAACATGAATACGTTCTCCCTGTTGTTATCATATGCACCCTGTCATATGGACCAATCAGCGTGATTGTTATGAGTTGACAAAGGTTATTTTATAACTGTGGTGTACATATAAAATGAATTAAAGTAAAATTAAATCACTGAACAATAAAAACTGTGACTCGGCAGAGTGTGCCAGTAATGCGTACGCGATTGGAACCTCGACAATTATGTATCAAAGACCTGCGGAAAGTAGAAAACTACGGGAGACAACCCAGTCAATGACAAAACGAACAGTTATAAGTAACCGTAATATTACATGTTTGCAGTTTCAGCCTCCAGTCGGTGATTAACTGATATGTCATCTGAGCTTCATCATACATGCAATGGTGATGAACAATTCATATCTTCAAAGGACAACCCTCACCCTGGTTACCATTTTAAAATCCAATATTTATCAAATTCCTTTAATTGCTTGACGTTTCTTTGTGCAGAGCTGTTTATTGTAACAAACACAGTTTTGATTAAAACATGGTATGTCATGTCGGTGGTTTTCAATCTAGCTCTTAATTACGTCTGATAAAATCGGATCTTATATACTGTCGTGACAAATGTAAAAAGCATCCTTTTGACTAAGAATCACGGATTTGCATGCGTCACGCCATATTCGTCCCGACACTTCATCAGAGTCGTCTTGGTGCTTTTTGACAGCTGCGCATGCGCATTTGATCACTATCGATCACGTTGGGCACTTTAGATGAACTGTGTAGAAGATTCCAGTCACATATACGTGTTTGGAAAATTAGATTCGTTTCCATCTCGTTCCATCAATCTTTGGTAATCTACAAATATAATACAAACTAAATTAAATTTGGATAGCGTTACTTCCTGTAATGGTGTATGACATGTATGGATCGGCCAATGCTTAACCAATACTAAAGAATGCTTTTACCGTAAATTCGGTGTCATAGCGCGTTATAAAACATCAAAATAAACAGAAAAGCGGTCTTAAAACTTCTTTGTGATACTTGATATAAATCTTTCTGGACGGAAGTACAGTCTTAACCTGAAATTAACGATGTCCTCAATAATAATTTCATGTAAAAAACATAACAATGTGTTTCTCTTGCCTGCATTGACGTCGAATATAGACCCAGAATTTGCAGGGTTCGATTTCCGTCGCGTGCAGATGACGCACACTCCGATGACGAAGATTAGTATTCCCACACCAATAGCACTCCCGACAATCACTTCCGCTATCGTTGTGGCGTTCCTAGCAACAATAGACAGTTCAAAGGCGTAATGGAAGCCAGACCATATTAGACAATCAAAATTCAATAAATGCCGTTTTAGTCACACTTGAAATCATTTGGGAAATTCATTTAATGCAGGTGTCTGAATCGTTCCTATCTATATACAGATACTCTGGTGTATTTTAAACAATTTAAACCTGCCCGGACCTATCAATTTTCATTTGTTGTACACCGACATAGCAATTGCACTCTCCTGTTCGTAATTTACCATTCCCTTGTCGTTTTGTTGTAGTTAGTTCCAAACTCCAGGCATGTGGTCGCCATCACAATCACGGATCACAAAACAGACGATAACCTAAACCTAAGACTACTTTATCAATGTCTATCATGGGCTAGTTTCCCTCAAAGAAAAAAACCCGTCCCATTAAATTGCTTTATTAAACAAATTTTGAAACGCCCTTTAAACAATTTATGCAAAACAGACAAGATGCCAATAAACTAACGTTCTCCCTGACAAACAAAACGCCCTTTCAATTCCTCTCCAACGACATGTTTTCCCCATCATTTGATTTCTATTTGTCTGAAAGACTAAGCGTCTCTTTAACGCCGCATATTGTTCAGTGCTGAAAGTCGCCTAAGTGTGTTTGTATGGGAGGGATTCGCACCTCCATTCCAAAAGAGTTTTACAACAGGATTCCTGTAGAAATAACTACAATGTCGGATGTGAACCTTATTTACAATAGGTTTGAATGCTTTTATGCTGCAACATATTTACATTGTGGTGACACAAGGCAGTGATACATTAATGTTTATCCATGACAACTTGCTTGGTAATTAAGTAATGTTTCTCATGGCGTGAATTCGTTAAAAATAAATAAAATTTAACAGATAAACGATAAGAATTTATCAATTCATGGCTCATTTTAAAGGCACACAGTAATGCATGCGTGAGTATGACGTTGTCTTTAATTGAAGACTGCTATATTCAAAAGTAGATTAACATTTAGAACGACGGAAAAGCACGAGTGGTTGATATGAAATCTGAAGGGAGATAACTCTTATAAGACGAGTGCGGGAAACTTACAGTGGGCAGCAGTAGCGGTAATCCTGATGTTCACAGCACCCCTTCTCACAGAACGTCACGAGGCCGTCGTTCATCGTGCAGTTTGTCCCACAAAGAGCGCACACTGAAACACGCATAATTGAATTAAATAATTAGATAGTTTGTAATTATACCCAAAAGTGACACCAGAAAAGAGAAATAAAAAATACAATAATATTCTGTTATACTTCCGTTATTGTTTCAGCGAAATGCTGGTGTTTTGTTTTGTTTTTTTGTTTTTTAAAGAAATCTAGGGGAAATTGAAAAGTGAACCTACTTAACGTTGGCGGTAAGCGAGTTGGAAAGTGAAACACTGTGCAGTATTCAATGAATCTAGGTTTTATTCTGAAGAAATCGATGTTCAGTTCTTCAATTGTTTTAGTAATGTAAGCTGAAATATGGCAAATTTGTAAATGACGGTTGCCATTTGCAAGCAGGTTAGCACAAAGGAGCCAGATACGCTTGTGTTTTCTTTAACGCCGGAACTGTATTTACTGAAGCGAATCAACGCTCTAAGTAAATTATTGTATTAACGATATACTGTATATTATTCCATATTATCATCGTAATTACGCCTGACAGACGACAGCGCCACTCAACGTATTCATGGAGAACTAAGTAGAAATGAAAACAAACATTCGAGCTATCGACAGTGTACCCATTCGAACGACCCTTGAGTCGGTGAAATTAAAAGCGACCTCACGCATGGATCGAGCGACAAAGAGAGTGTGGTCCTTGTGCATTCACTGTTACTTGTAAATCATTCGAATTCAGTTCTAGAAAAATAGAGTCATGGATTTGATATTTTTATTGGTCTCGATAAAGCTCAGTTTCTACGCAGAAGGAATCAATTTAAATCCCCAGAACTATTTTAAGACAATGGTAATTGTGAGGGACTTCGTTCTAATCCAGTTGTTTGCCGGCTCCTATATGCGTGTTCCCCGATATTTCCGTCACTTGAACGTTATCGTTACTGTAGATACCCACCCCCCGACCGATTATAACGGATCGTTACTAAGGCGAAAGCTCGCCGCCTTATAATTAGCGGTCTAATTCCTTAAATGTCGCTCTACATTGTCTGAGTTTTGTAGTTTGCTGTAATACTATCCTTCTCCCTGGGTATTTCGGTAACCCTTTAGTCTAATTACGTGTCATACGCCTGTATACTCATCTGCTTAATTAGCCAATAACACGACGGTTTTCTCCGTAGTTAGTTTTCTGTGCCAATGGGAAAGCAGTTAAAACTGCGTATTACACTTCTACTTCCCAACGTTGATTAAAGGCAAAACTGAACACTCAATAATATGCTAACAGAATTGTGTAGTGCTTTTTATTATTATAACATAATGCATAATTCCCACACTACAATGTAGGAAGAGCCTTGCACCTGTTCACAATCCAATATGACTGCAATTATGACTAGAAAACATCTATTTGTACTAATTCTTGCTATTGCACAGTTTTTATATTTAAATTCCATCTGCAAGTCCGCATATACCACAGGAGATTGCTATGAATGTGTTTCGATCAGTGTCATTTTGACGCTTTCCTCGTCTCGCGAAACATAAGAAACATCGTATTATGCAAACACTTAAAGACGTTATACTGTTAAAGGACTGTCGTTTCAACACTGCAAATAGTAAGAAGGATAATATGTTTAGATTACTTATATCAATTTTATTACAACAGTTTTAATTTGTAGATTTAGCTAAATGATATAATCAGAAATGCAAGTATTGAATTATGACGGCGATTTTCATTTTGGTAGGTTCGTATTTTTGGTACGAAACTGAAATGTGTGTTGACATAGCCATATAATAAGCATATTTCATGGCCAGGGGTGTAGGATCCCTAATCTACAACGCTTTTCTAATAATTGAGAAAAAACCCGACGCTTTGCCAAAGATTTTGCTCCAACTGGATAATTCTGACGATGAAATGTCCCTTCCCTACACCCATGTTAATGAAAGAGATTTTTTTCTCCCATTCCATTCACCAGAATCAGGCTCTGAAACGACCAAAGAGGCGTCGCAATTTCCGCTTCTTGAAATTGGAATGCTCCCGATTTCTTGACGTCACGTCATTGTTGTTCCATTGTCAAATCATGCGCGTGAAATGGAATGTAAGTTAGAACAATTCTTGCATCCCTTTCTAACCATGGAGCGTAGTGTCGTATACACACAGGAACGAGAGAAAGAAATAACTCACACCTGTTTCATTGGAGCCTGAAGTTGGTTCCTGGTGCCGTTTAAGATAAACGGAACTGGGAACCAGGCCCTAGTGCCGTTTAAGATAAACGGAACTGGGAACCAGACCCTATTTCCGTTTTAAAACTGAAATAACAACATCCTTGGAACTTGGACCAAAATACTAGTTCTGTTTCAGGAAACATCATAACCAGCCTCTTATAATCCACTGGGAACAACAGATACGATTTTCTCTTAAACGGAACTGGGAACCAGACCTCGTGCTTTTTTATAATTCTTTCCCTGTCTACCTCGCAAAACGTCCAAGGCACAAAGTTATATCTGAATCTAGTACAGGAATCGAACCCACAACCTTTCAGACAAAAAAATAAGACTACCATAGCCTCTATAAAGGAATCGATCTTACACGGAACTGAAAATCAACACTCCAGTTACCCTTTCTCTTAAACGGAACTGGGAAAAAGGACCTAGGAACCGACTTCAAGCTCCCGTTTCAGACCCCGGATAGTACTGTCATATACCTTTGAGAGGAATGTGAGAAAATGGAACTTCGGTATGCCGCCCTTGTACCCTAACATAACACACAGTGAAATAAAACTAGTTAACTTATAAACTTTGAAGTAAACTTCGTTTTCGCATTCATTCATTTGTATACATGCCGATACATGATTTGACGTTAAATAAGACTATACCGGTTTAGTGTTTGTCACACATCACAGCTTTGGTCTGGAACGTCTCTGGTACAAGTCCTAACCCAATTCTGTCGAAAAAGTGTATCAAATATTCCCAGCTGTATTCCCGAAATAAGCTATTAAAACTCAGTACGAAATAGAACATAATAAAATTGTGCCAAATGTTTAACGGTTCCAGCTGTAATTGACAACGTCAGACACCAACACCGACGTACACAGCCTTGTTAGTCTACCGATAGAATAACACGAAATTTGACATGGTATTTCACTGAATGGCCAAATTATCTTAGGGTGCGTGCGTAACATTTTAAAGCGATCGTCTGAAACCCTCAGACGAATCGAACGATTTTTTTTAAAAAAAAGCGAGACCTTATCTTTACAGATTGTTTTCAACTATCTAAGAATTTGAGGTGGGCTGACTGGTAAAATATACATTATATCTATGACCAGATTTGTCGCGAGTCAAGCTTACGTATGTTCAGAGGACAAACAACATACCATGTCCTTTTGCCGAAACAAATTTTACGAAAACTTATCAAGCACTTCAATTAAGAGATAAAAGATTACGCATTGTTTCGACAAAAAAATAGTCATAGCTTCCTTTGGGTATATGAGCTTCATTGCACATTATACTGTGATTTGTGCAGATCATTATTAACTTACTACTTCATCTTTTTCATTTTCACAGAATTACACGAGCGTCAATTGCTTAGTACCATTAAAACGTTTAAAACATTCCTGTATAGCATTTTTCATCAAATACATTTTTGTTTTCCGGGTTTCATAAAAGATATGTAGTAAGGCGCTTTTGAGGATAGGAGAAAGGATGGAACTAATTTGGATAAGAGATATTTCGGAACTTTTTTGGATAAGAGATAGTTCAGATCTTTTTTGGATAAGAGATAGTACGGAACCTTTTTGGATAAGAGATAGTACGGAACCTTTTTGGATAAGAGATAGTACGGAACGTTTTTGGATAAGAGATAGTACGGAACTTTTTTGGGTAAGAGATTAGTTTGGAACTCGTTAGGATCTACAATCGGGGACCCTCGGCATTTTCCTTAAACGAGCAAGTGTATTATCCTAAGGACAGGAGATGGTAAGGAACTGTTTACATGAGATACAGTTCATCATTTACTAGTATACGACATGACGTATAGCTCACAGAAGTTAGACGTGGATCCTGCGGGAGAAACTTCATGACTCATCGATCTATTCTCATCCGGAAAATCGTGATTAAATAAAGAATCTAAATCTTATAGGGACTTTTAGAATTATGGTCGGCAATAACATGAGATTAATCAATTTCACGTTTTTCTATTATTGATTCTGGCAACTTTTTATTCTGTTTTCTCTATTTATAATTTGTTTTCGTACGTTACGTCCTTAATATAACCCTTGTATCATAAACTTTTTATCCATGTTTATCTTATCCGATGAGGCGACTGTTAATCGTCTCAGGTTTTTTTTTATAAAATAACTTACCATATTGAATAAAATTGGAAACGCCAACATGCCTGAACAGTAGCACAGAGGACAGAAAAACAAATTTCATTTTTCTAATTTATCTTTTAATCTTTGAATGAATTTATATTTCTTGTGAATTAGTTATTTGTTTTAAGTTGGAATTTATATCTAACTGCCTTTAACATTGGATCATTTTCCCCCTGATTATTTTTACATTTTTGTAGAGAGAACATTCCCATCTTACCCCGCGAGAGGGAGAAATTGAAAATCCACAAAGAAGAACTAAAAAACACAAAAACATAATAATTGACGTTGAATGATCAACAAAGTTTAATAGTTCGGTTATAAAAATGTTATTCCAACATGCTAGAATTGTCAAAATACATTTTTTTGAACAATCTACATGTTACTCATACAGTTTCTCTTTCAAGGTTGTATCTCACATATTAAAAAGCGTTTTTTTTCTGTAATAAATTCCGAACTGCATGTGTTTAAAATGCCTAAATATTTGTGAAATTGAAAATGTTTCAGATTATGTTTGGAACTCTTTTAAAAGGAGGACATGTTAAACAGTGTACCGTACCTCTTTAAAGTAATTTTCGCAAGCTTACAAGCTTTTCATAGACACAGACTTTAAGCCGGCCCAGCCGTCGCGTAATAGCTGTGAAGCAGTTCATACGAAATATAGTTGATTTAGGATTGCAAGCCGAGAAAAGTAA